CCCCCCCGTGCCAGGCCCCAGCCTTGTGGGCAGTTATTAGCACAAGGCCTTCCCGTAGTTGCCCCCTTGCCCCCCCATGGGCAGAAGCACGAAGCCCCCGTGGCTGCCGATTCCCTGTGGCACGAAGAAGTTTGACCCCCACGAGCGCTGGGTTGTGGGGCCTGTGCTTCCTTAAGCCACGTATTACGCTGCTCCCACCCCTGTGCGCTGCTAGGCCAGCAGCCAGGAAGGGCAAGCCCGAGCGGCTCGTGTCCCAGGGCTGCACAGGAGCTGCAGCGCTTTGTTCCCCACGATGATTTCATGCCAGGGGAATGCAGACGCCAGCCTGTCCCTCTGACACCCGGCACTTAAGGTGGATCGCGTCGGGGCAGGTTGGGGCTGGCCTCCCCTTGTCTCCGGCATCCATTAGGAGGAGCAAAGCTCTGGACGGGGGATACTGGAACCTGCTTGTTTGAGGGGAGCGAGGGGACTGCCAGCTCTGCAATCGGCTCCCGCGGGGCAGAGCTGTAGGGAGAGAAGTAGGATCTGGGGGGATGGGGAGGACACATTTAGTGAGCTCGTGGCTGCATCTTGGCGAGAGGAACTGAGGTGAGGAGTCAAGGGGGCAATTCTCTTCCACATCATGTAAAGAGAGAGCGAGGGCAGGGAGCAGCTTCGAGGCTGTCACGGGCACCCAGGGGCAACAACAGCTCTGTGCCTGCAACACAGCACCGGTGAGTGAAGCCTGTGGCCAGGCCCTGGCCCTGGCAGCATCCTGCCTCCCAGCACTGCTGTCCCAGGGACCACGGCCTACACGCGGCTGGCGGGGTGCAGAGGACAAGCAGGCTGTTAGTCTGTGCCCGGCTGGCGGGCTGTGCGCGGGGAGAGTGTGCAGAGCGGTGACAAGAGCTGTTTGCCACGCACTGTGCCGGGTAGAGAGGGCCCCAGACCCATGAAGCAGGGGAGAGAACGGATGCTCACCTCCCAGTGCTGTGAACCGGGGCACCCACGTGCCGTTGGGTGCTTCCAGCCTCACAGTGAAACCCGGGCTCCTCTCTGGGCTGGGGGATCCCCGCTGACAGAAGGTGGCAGCTCGCCACTTCCTTTCCTTTTCTGTTCGTGACAAGGAGTTTAGCAGATTCACAGGTTTGCTGGACTTTGACGGCTGCGCGAGCGCTTCTGCTGGGCCCTCTGCCAGCACCCGTGCGTCGCAGCTGGGGCACCGGGCCAGTCGCCACAGCCCTGCCCAGGCTGGCTCCGACCCTCGTAAGCAGCCAGGCGAGCATGGCCGTAGCTGGCTCGGATGCAAAGTGATTGCCACCAGCTTTGACATCTCTCGATCCGTCAGATGGCCCTTTCCCAAGGCGTTGGTCACCGATCGCTGGCAGTCTTGGACATCTCCTTTGCTCTTGAAACCAGGCACCAGAAGGCTCCTTCTCCGCAGATCCAGCATTTCTCACGTGACATGATCTCATTAGAGCTCGGTGAGAAGCCTTAACCACCCGCAGGCCCTGGCGTCCCCTGCCTCATGGCTATGCCACGCAGCCCTGCAGCCTTCTGCTTGTTCATCTCATCCAGGCATCCTCTACCTCGCTCTGTCATTCATTTAGCCAAGGCTTTCGTCAGAGACCAGCCCTGCACCCTGCGGTCCTGCTCTCAGCTCTCAGGAACGCCTCCCCCTGACCCGGCTCTTTCCAGGCTCTGCCAGCACCTCGCCTCCCTCATCAGTAACGGAGCATCCAGGGAAACCGAAGTGTTTGGCCAGAGGCGTCCACCTTTCTGGGGCTGCGGTCAGGTCAGGGGCCGTTCCTTCTTGCACAGAAGGAGCCAGTGCAGACAGCCGGAGCACTGCAGCAGGGGTGGCGTATGTGATGTTGGTAGAGAAGCAGGTGAGTGAACCCACATTGTCTGCGATGACGTTGTCTGCATTGGTGAGGGGGCGCCACTCGCATCTGGGGCTGGAGCAAGATCTGGCGCCTTGGAGAGAAGAGTCAGGTAGCCTGTTGCTGGAGAGATGCCGTGTGAGGCTGGGGGCTACCGGTCAGCCAGGACACGTTTGTCCCCCATGGCTATCTTGAGATGGCCACACTTCCAGAGGTATTTCATGACGTGTCTAAGGTGTTCAAGCTGAGGCCTGTAGGTGACAGCCAGAAGGACTCTGTTGTCCTTGTCTTGGATTGATATTGCAGCAGGGCAGAGCAGGGCTCGGAGTTCGGCTCTGTGGCTTTGAGTGGCTGCGGTTTTAGGGTGGTGTTGAGACTGTAGGAGTCCTTGCTCCAGATCCTTAGGCGTGCATCCTGGCCAGAGGGATCAGAGCAGATACGGTGGTAACGTAGAGCTTGGCTGGAGACGCTGGACCTAGCAGCGTGTTCGGGATGAGAACTACTGGCGTGGAGGTTGCTGTAGTGGCCGGTTGCTTTCCAACACTATGTGGAGGTGAAGTGACCATCACAAATTTTCACGGTGGTGTCCAACCAATGAATATGCTGAGGGGAGTCAGTTTGACGGGGTGGGGGGGAATCGTTCGGATCCTCTCTGTCAAGACTAACCTGTTCTTGAACATTTCCAGGCCTCGGGAGTCTGCACCTTTTCTAGGCAGCCTGTTCCAGTGCTTTACTGCCCTCAGAGTGAGGAAATCCTTTCTGATTGCCAGCCTAAATTTTCTCTGTTATAGTTTGAGGCCTTTGCTCCCAATTCTGACTCCTTCAGCCACAGGGAAAAGTCTATCTCCATCCGCCGTATAGCAGCAGTTTGAGGTCTCCCAGCCTGTCCTTGAAAGTCAAGCTTCCCAGACCTCCCAGCATTTTTGTCCCTCTCCATTGGACTCGTTCCGATCTGTCCACATCCTTCTTGAAGTGTGAGGCCCAAAGCTGGACACGGGATGCTAGGTGAGGCCTCACCAGCTGCAGGACAATGTTAGCGCGCTCCAGGCCACTGCTTGGCTATGCAGACGGCTTCGGGTCAGCACTGAGGCTCTGCACATTTCCAGCTCCTCTGCACATCCCCGCTCTCGTGTTCAGGTTTCTGCCCACTGTAAAAACAGCAGGGCTGGACCAAGGGGGCTTTTGCATTTGGCTTATTCCCGTGTGATTGATAACACTGGGTAAGACTTAGAAGGGAGGAAGGAATCTCAAAGCACCTCTGGTGGCAATATCAGTATGTAAGCCCAGGGTGTGAGAGCTGCCCGGCTCCATCGGATTTCCTGGCACTTGGGCAGCCAAGTGTCGCTGGCTACAGCACGGGGGTCTTGCCTGCTGCTCCTGGGTGAGGGCAGGTGGCCGAGGGGCCACGTGTGCATGTGCTGACTCCTCCCAGGAGTCAAATACCCAGACAAGTGCACACCAACAAGGGGGTGGCATGGGCCGAGTAGAACACCCCCCCATTACGTCTGCCCCTGCCGCCCCCCGAAAGCAGCACTCAGCCTCCCGCTGGCTGCAGTGGGACAAGCTCAGACCCACGGCAATTCACTGCGTCCGCTGCCGTCAGCTTGCTCGTGCTCGGCCCCAGCCATGCAGACTTGGCAAACCAGGCCAACAGAGACCCCGCGGGTCCTTACGGTCGTCTCCACTCACATCAAAGCATCAGAGGTGAGCGCCACGGTCCTGCTAGCCCTGTGGCCCCTGGCCTCATGTGAAGGCCAAGCACCCGGTTTTGTGCCTTGGTCCCACTCTAGTGCTTCCTGGCTGGGGACTTGCTTGGGTACCTGAGATGCCCAGCAGCCAGCAAGCTTCAGAGCCCTGCTTCCGCTTGCTGGTGCTGGCTAAGCTCCACACGGGTGGGCAAAGGGAGGGTGCAGCCAGGCCTGGGTGCTGAAGGCTACGGCACTCCCCCTTCACGGCTAGTTACCCAAGTGGGTATGGCCAGCCACCGCACAGCAGGATGGATGCCCTGCGCTCTGCTGGCTGCTCCAGGCTGCAGCTGTGTCCAGCTGTGCCCCCTCTGCTTTGTACAGTGGCCTGCGTCCAACCCGCACAAGTTGCATCGTCCCTTCCACCTCGCTCGTGCATCTAATGGGCTCGTGATTTCCATGTGCACCTGGAGAAACTGCCTGGAGCTGAAGCGACTTACCCAGTGGCACAGCGTGAGTTCGTGGCAGAGGCCTGACGCCGAGCCCACTGGCTCTCATCCACAAAGCCACCGCAGGGGCCTGGCTCGAGCCTCCGGTCACCTCACAACAAAGAGTCCGGGGCGGGCAGCCTCTCAGGAGTTTGCATGTACAGTTTATTTTTTTCACAACAGAGAAATACAAAGAGCAAAATTCTTTTTCTTTTTGTCCTGACGCCGGCCGGTCAGTTGGCTGGATTTTAAACATAATGCAAACTTTCCATTGGGAAGCCACAGCCTCTGCAGGGCTTCTCACTCACCACAATGCAAGACAGAAACAGGGGAGGGGGGGCTTTTTTTTTCCTTTTTCTTTTTTTAATAAGGTATTAACTAGCTCTAGAGACATGTGGCCTGGATTCTCATATAGAAAAAAAAGGAAACAAACAAACAAAAAAAGAGATGTGTTAACAGTATGTATAAGAGGCCTATTTACACGGTATTAACATGCTGACAAAAAAGGTTACAATATTGAATATCGTACAACATCACGTCAGAAACAAAGAGCAGGGGACAGGGCCGAGGAATAAAAAGAGGTTCAAATTAATAAACAGAGGAGTAGGCAATAAACAAACAACCTGGTAAAACAATGATATAGTTAAGGCTTAAAAAGTGTATAAAAAAATAACACAGTTAATATCCAAAACGGAACCGAAGCGTACATAATATATATGAGTTTTGTCTAGTCTTTCTGGGAGGTGGGGCTGTTCTTCCTTCTCTGTACACAGGTCCTATGTACACGCGCTCAGGGCGGGCATGGCTTTGCAAGCAGGGCTGCGGATGTGGAGAGGAGCCAGTCTGCTTGCCAAAATTGGGGAGTCCGTGTCACCTGCGTGGGGGGAAACTCGGACTGCGGAGTCAGTGCTGGGGGCCGAGAGGCGCGTCCCCTCCCCTGGGGGCAGGAGGACCTCTTCTGCTTTTAAAGACCCCTGTGGCTGGAGGACCCGTCTTCTGGTAGGTCCTTTGCAAGAGACCTGGCACAGCCCCGCTAGGATTGGGGGTGGGGGGGAGTGTGTCTCACACCAAGGCCTGGGAGAGGCTCAGCTGGAGAACCAGCGCCTGCAGCCAGTGCCACAAGCTGGGCTGCAGTGGTGCTGGGCTCTCCAGCAGTCAGGGTGGGCACTGCCCCCCTGCACCTCCTTATTGCTGCATCCCCTTCCCTGGGACTGGAGGGGGCTGTCGGCAGCTCTGCTTGGCCTCCGCAGAGGTGAGGCGGGCACCTGGTGCCAGTCACCCTCAGCCCAACTGCCCCGAGAGCCAAAGTCCACCAGGTGTGGCCGGTACAGTGAAGGGGAAGACAGACACGGCCCAGGACAGAGCGAGCACCCCCCTCTGAGCACCCAGGGCAGAGCAGGCGAGACGGTCCTTGGGTCCCAGGTGCAGCAGCGGGAGATCTGTTCCCCGCTGATCCCTGTGCTCATTCAGGAGAGCGCCAGCCTGTTCCACGGACCCTGGGAGCTGCGTTCGTACTTAGACTCCCCCAAGAGCCTGCCCTCGCCCTCCTGAGCCCGTGGCAGCTGGGTCAGCCCCAGCTGATCACAACTGCAGGCCCCAGCAGAGCTATACTGACCACAGCAGTATTTGGAAACAGCCGCTTTGCCCTGCTCAGCCATTTTCAATCTGGATTCTAGCATGGAGAGAGCTGGGTTATGGGTGGGTTATGCTCAACCAGTCAGACCACATGCAGCTGGGCGCTGGGACCCGGTTTGAACATGGCGGGAGGTGGCTCAGCTTGTGGAGAGGGTTCGACGGGGATCAAAAGTGGTTTTGATGCGGGGCTGGGCTCAAAGGACCCTGTGCCTGACCCCGGAGGCCTCCTGCTCACTGCCGGCAGCCACCCAACGCGCGGGCTGCCCTGGCCAGCTGGTCTCCGGGGCTCTCCACACCATCAGCAGTTTCTCCTCATCCCAACCACAATAGGGAGGTGCAAGCACAACCTGCAAGAGCCATCCAGCCACCCCCAACCTCCATGTCTGCAGGGCCTGGATGCTGCAGTGGCCCAAGGCCTGGCTGCTTGTGGGGTGGCACCTGGCAGCCGGACCAGACAGGCATGTTGTGACTCCTCTGGCAGCGCAGGGGATGTGCCCTGGAGCTGTGCCAGGGACACAGACAATGGAGAGGAGGGGACCTAGTGCGGAGGGGCTGGGGCACCACCTGCTCAGGGCTCCATCATCCTGCACGTCTCTGGGGCACGGAGACATTCCTGGTCTGCAGCCCTGTTGGCAGAGGGCGCAGGAGGGCTACTGGCTTCACAAAGAGCTGGCTCCCCTTTCACGGGCACTCGCTTCCTGTCCTTCCGTCCCCACGCCGCCTCGCTCAGCTCACTCGGGGCAGCTCACATAGCTCAGCACCCGCGGGGAGCAGAATCATGCTCATGCTCCCCTGTCCCGGGCACATGCATCTCCCCTGAGCACGGGCCTGCAGACAGCTCTAGTTACACCAGCAGGGCCGGGGGGCAGGATGTGAGCGGCTACCAGCCCCAAGCTCCCACTTGTAGCTCTCTCCTTCACACCGTGCCCGAGCGCCTGCCCCACTCGTGCCAACGTGGCAGGGAGAGTGGTCTAGGAGGGGTGGGGCTGCTCCCAGGCTGGCCGGCTCCTGGGTCGGCCAAACGCTGCCCTGCACACGGTGCCCTCCCTTGTCTCTACCAAGGAGGCACGGCTGGCAGAGACCCCTGTCCACAGCAGGCCATGCCCTGTCTGGATCGGGCTGGAGGTTGCCTGGGTCAAACAGAAGGAAGCACGGCACACTGGGACTCCAGCCCTCCGCGGCCACGGCCACGGCCACGGCCACG